TGTGTATCTATTTATTTTGTTTTAGTAGTTTATATTGAGTATAACAGTGCGTGAGTGTCGTTATCTGTTGCACATTCACACACAACACTGACTACACCTGGCTGCAGGTCGGGTACAGAAACACCACTTGTTGCTATGGTTTCAGTTGTAGTTCTGGCTGTGTTATATGACTACAGATGTGGCTATACAACTCCTGCATGTACTTAATGTTACATCCATTACAATGGGTTTGTACAGTCAGTTAAAAGCTACAACTACAGTATGAGTGAAATCACAGCCATGGTCAAACCTAGGACAACAGAAGCCATACGCGTGGTCACAGTCACTTCGTGTCCCACTACCATACTAAGAGTCACAGTGTAGCAGCTAACTAGCTTACATTTGTTAGCTTAGCAGGATTAACTGCAATGACACACTTACGTGTTACCTACCATGCTATTTCTTGTTCAGCCACCATATTAGAACAAGTTAAAACTACTGTTACCCATAAAATGTCAGTGCATGAGCTTCAGTCCCCACTACCATCAGTAAAGACTAGCTAAACAAATGTATGCTAGAGTTTACACATCATCATAAAGCTAACTTTATCTTTACACAGAACAAACATTAAATAAATTTTGTTTTACAGAACTGCTGAACTGTTCACCGGTACATACAATCTACTATAAACTCAACTAGTCATTGCACACCCACAGCCGGGCATCGCCAGCCACAACAAAGTGTGTGCCTAACATGTTGTGGTCACAGCAAGTGGCTACTGTTGTAACTTGGTCTCACTCCAACAATGTCTGTAAGACATAAGAAAGCAGTACAAAGAAACAAATAACTTTAAACACAAGCCGTTCACAGTGAAGCTATCTAAAATGTTATCTTTAAACATACAGTTACGTTTGTAGCAGAGTTTTGTACTACTGCTCACCTGAAGCATTGGGCCTATGTGACACCACAGTGCGGAGGTCACATGTTGGCCCATACTTGAGGATAAGCAAGGAGACACAATGTTAGTTGTTTCTTTTCTGGAAATCCAGCAACAAACCCCAACAGCTCCACAATCACCCTTTATATACTCTGCCAGTACCTAACTGGAACTGGACCAAACCACCAGTGGGGAACAGACACATACAAACATAAAAAAGACAATTTATTTTCGCCAAATAGATACAAATTATAAAACTGTATTCGAATATGACCAAATAATTACAGAGACAAACGTCTATGTAACCACTAGCTTTAGGAAAAAAACGTTTTGTCAAAAACAGGCACATGTCCCCCTTACTCCTCAAAGATGGTATAACCAGGAACTAGAGACATTAGCTACTCTTATAAGGACCAGAAGGCTGGGACAATATTAGTGTTAGCAGTGTTTAGCTTACCATTAAACTATAGACAGCCTACAAATTTGCTTGTGGTTAGTGGCCCAACTGCTCATGTATGTGTCATACCTCACGTAGGACTGACTTCCACGGCTGCCAACAGTTACAACCAGAAACAATTGTTTTACATGGAACTAAATCCACACCAACGGGCCACTCCCACCCACTGATGTCCCACAAGTTTGACTACATCTGCGTGCCAACGGTCTCAGTCACCTGCCTGCATCTCACTGGATTTTACTTAGCCATGCATTCTGTGTAGACAATACTTGTTTTATTTTTTCAGGTCATATGAAGATGAATTTATACTTTTTATGTCAAGGTGTTGTAGAGACGTGTGAGGTTATATAACTTAGTTCAGCCAAGGTACTGCCAGAGCTTACTACTTAAAACAGCACATGGGGGGGCTTACCGGTATGTCTGTAATTGTAACTTGATCAGTAACATGTTTCTGATCCTAGTGGAGCTCAAGGTTCACTGCAGGCTGTGTCTTAGACCAGGGGTCACGTGACAACTTGGCTCTTGCATTTTGTTTTTGAGGGGCATCTGGAGGCAGTGAATCATGGAACAGGAAGTGGCAGCAATGTGCAGCTGCTGCGTCTGTAGTCGAAGAAACCGTTATATTAACATAAAGCTTGAAAAGAAAAAAATCTGTACTGGTCAGTATTGCTGAACACTGGAGTTCTCATTAAAATAAATCTTTAGTATCTCAGGTATATTGTTTTTATGATCGGCTATCTTGTGTGATTTCACTCTGTAACACTTTATTTTGTCGTACTCTTGATTGCAATGAGATTAATTAAATAAAGGCGATACGTAAATCAGGGCATCCTGGTGGTTTACTGATATGCTACCAGGATAGAGCGGGACCTTTACTGCATATTACGCCCGTCCGTTCCATGTTTCCTGTCTGTCTGATTGTATCAAGAGCTAAAAGGAAAAAAAAATAAGTTATCTGAAAATATCTGGTTGTCACAACTTGTATTAAAACTGGCAAGCTAACTAAAATATTTCAGTCCTATATGCAAACACAGGCCATGTATTTGTTCCTTGACCAAGACAGAATGAGGTCATTGACTGACAGACATTTACTATACAAGGTAATTTAATTGTCATTTTACAACACAGGACTGCACAATGGAGTTCAGGTTATAGTTCCTTTTATGCTACTCATAAAAACTAAAAAATATTAAAATAAAACTATTTTATGTGAGGTGCTGAGGATGAATTAAGCAGTCTCACAGCCTGAGGGAAGAAGCTGTTCTTAAGTCCAGATGGCAGCAGGGTGAACAGGCTGTGGCTGGGGTGAATACTGTCTTTTAGTCTCCTTTGGGCTCTGCGCAGGCACCTCACCAATATCACTGATGCTGGATAGATGAGTACCAATGATCTTCTGGGTGGTTTTAATCACCCAGTCACTGCAGAGTCCTCCTGTCCTGGGCCTTGCATGAGCTTGGCACGGGAATATTGCTTTCTTAAGAAATACAGTCGTTTTGGTGCCTTCTTAACCAAGGCTGGGGATGTGAGATGGCCATGACTCACTCTTTGTGATGTTGACTCCCAGGAACTTAAAAGTGTTCACCTCAACTCCACAGAGGTAGACAGGTGGTTGAGTCTTCAACAATCAGGCATTGGTAGTGGTGTACAGGTGTGCATAGAAGTTAGGTCACATTTTTATTGTTTGATTCACATCAGAACTTCATTAGAACACAGTTAATGGCAGATATAGATAAGAATACCATGAGCTATAACACTATGTATAATTAATTTCTGTTATTCTGGTGCTCATTTACCTGGAAATACATTATTATCTCTCCCAAAAGAATCCTTAAAGGATAGTTTATAAGCTCTATCCCAATGAGTCTTCAGCAGACAAGAGACTAACTAAAACACAGAGCTGCTGGTCAGCCTTCGAGCGCCATTGACGAGTCTCTGTGGTTGACCGCTGGCCAGTGTTTTTGTGGTGTGTCTGTTGGCATTGATTGTGTTAAAGCAGTCACACACAGTCGGTGAGAGTGAGATGTCTGATTGGCTGTTCAGCCAATAAAACATGTGAAATTCACCCAGTTAATGTTGGTTCTGCTTCAGTTTTTTAACTAAAAAATCCCCATCAGTTTTAACTTTTTGGCCATGTTAGCTGTGTGGCTCTAGTCTCTAGTCTGTCCACCACCTTGGTCCTAAAATATCTCATCAATTTGTTGGATGTATGGAGTGGAGTTACCACAGAGAATGAACCCTGAGGACTTTGGTGACTTTTTTGGGACAAAATGTTGACATTCATGGTTCTTAGACAATGTATCGTAATGGCTTTTGGATTCCCCGACTTTTCATTTAGTGCCACTACGAGGTTGACGTCTGTGGTTTTTAGTGAAATGTCTATTGGATGGAGAGTCATTAAATCCGGTGGAGACATTATGACAGAAATGAGACCTCAGCAGTCCGAAGTAGTCAATTGTCTATTTTCCAAGGTCTGTTTAGTACCAAACATTTGTGTGTTATACAATAATGCTTTCAATGGGCATGTGAGTATTGCTTTAAGACAGAAAATGTGAAAGTGTCCTTTAGCTGAATGCTAGCTAGACAATTAGGTTAACATTGGAAGGAGAAACCACATCAAATATCCTTTGAGGGGAGAGTTTTCATGTTCGCCTGAAGGAAATTTTAGTCCAACCTGTAGATGTGTTGTTGTCTTTTGAATTGCTTTTTTCATCTGCAGTAAATTATTTACTTAAAAGTATGGTGTTAAACTGTTGTTAAAGCAAATGATTTTGTGCTAATTTAACCTTCTGGAACGTGTTCTTCTCTCTGTTTCCATTGTTTAGTACATTTTTTATTCCTATGTTTTTACAATGGGCTTTTTGTGATCTGCTCCAGCTTTTATCAGTACCCTCAGGCCAGTGTTGTTCTCGCACACTCACTAATGAATCCCACTGTTTAAGTTATACTTGTAATTCTATGTGTTAAAGCTGCAAATCTAAACATCAACATGGGAAATTATACCTGCAGGCATTTTACAATGTTACAAAAGATTTGTTGGATTAGATGTGGGACTTGAACGGAGAATGTTTGATTGCATTTCGTGTGCAAACCTAATAAATCTAATGCTTGCTTTGTATTTGAAAAAGATCAAAGACAACATTGTCCACTGCTGTGACAATTTTAACACAGTCTAAACCTATTATATAAAATCTGCATGGTTTGATGGTTCACATTCATTTGGCAAACATTTTTTGTCCAAAGTGACTTTAATTTTTGTCATACACATGCTGTTAGAGCAGTTCAGTGGCGTGGCCCAAATAATAGCCAATCAATGGTCTACCAACTGTGCTACAGAAGCTATCCATCCAATATCAGAAATATATCAAAATATCTCTTATTGCATGTTAAATAAACAGGTTATTTCATCTCATTGGACTGCATGCTGTCAGTCACATCCAGTTGGACCTCTCAGTGTGACTTATTTTCTAAATTCCACATTAAGATTAAAACAACAAACAACACATGTACGCATTTTTAATATACAGCCCAACTCTGATATGACTCTAACCTTTCACACTCCTCCTAATACTGCCCCTACTCTCAGACAGCCTGCAGTGAAGGCCCAGCACTGCCCATGATCTCCATGCTGTTCTCTTTTAGTGGACACTCCCCCATCTTGCCTCACACACCCTCCGTCTGAAGGCTGAACTGCAGTCCTGCCACAGGCTGTTGAAACCGGACAACTCCGCTGCCAAGGTAAATACCACCCGTATGTCAAAACACATTGATTGATTATTAATTCGCTCTCCAGCCACGTTATTCTTCACGCCTCTCTTGCCTCGTATAAAGCCGGGACGACCGATAACTTAAGTTAGCAACGACTGCTGCTCGTTTATCTTGATGAACTGTGAGCTGGTGTTAGCATGACCAGCTAGCGGTTAGCCACCGATGTGCAGCTAATGGTCCGGGCAATGCTAACGCTGACGGGTCCCTGCATTTAATTAAAGTGGGTAAAGAAGTTATATAAATGTTGTCTGCAAATAGCGACACGGCAACCCTTCACTGTGAGCTCACCGGTGTCGTTAGGTTGATTTCAGCCAGCGGCGTTCAAAGGGAAGTTCTGCTAATTCAAGTTAGCAACAGTAACTTTAAGTTCCCTGTTTAAAAGTTTTTAAAGACGGTGTTTGAGTGAGTTTCACAGGTGACAGGTGGAGACGAGAGAAAGAGAAAGAGTCCCGCTGAAGGTGTGAGTGTTAGTAGCTATGTGGCAGTGTGACCTAATGTATGTATGCTGTAGGTTACACTGCAACAGGTACACGTCCTGTCTAAACTTTAGGTTTAAAGCTGCCCTGCAGTACATCTTAAATAAAGCTATAATGTGAAGTTCTTGTTGTAAACACTTTTAGTGGATTAGGGCTGCATAATATGGTAAAAACATCATATTGAGATTATTTTGACAGATATTGCGATTCAAACATGATTTCTTAAATCTGGAGAACAAGATTTGTTGACCAGAGCACCTCTGCAGTCTCTATTGTCCTTCATTATAATGCTGTTTTGTCACACATTTATCTAAACATTACAGCTCTTGTGATTTGCATATTGCACTTGACCATATTGCGATTCCAATAATATGTCGATTAACTGTGCAACCCTAATTTGAAGCCAGTTATTCGTGGTACTGTTGCATTGTATTGCCGTGTCCACCCCATTTAGCATTAAAACAATGACGGTGGACTACATATGAGAAATGCTGGTTATTGGTACAGCACATTATAATTCATCAGCCTTCAAATTTGAACAGTTTTATCAAATAATTCTCATCATCAAGTGCCTAATTAATTGCCAACTGAGTGTATAATCAGGTCAATCACTGTTGTCAACAGGTGGAGAGATTATCTGTGAGAGAAGATCAGAGGAGGGTCTCAGTTACAGAATATCTGACACTCCCTCATTATCAACATGGGGGCCGTCATCTCACGGTGGAAGGTTTGTTTTCAAACCATTGCTCATTATGTCTTTCTGCTTTATGCTGCTGTGATACAAATTGTGTTATTGCACAATTAGCTGGCAATATTTTAGTTTAGACAAAGAACAAGTTTAGTTGTAATCTTCTAACTTCAGATTTAATATGTTTTAAGTTGAGAAGCTCATGTAGGACTCATAAATAGTGCCCATATGCTTAGACAGAGCTACATAAATTATCACAATTCAGATGTTTATGCTAATACGTCTCCTTGTATCACCATCCCTCGCCATATTGTCATGCACAGGCTAACTAAATTACGTCTCCAGTGACCAAGGTGGGAAATTACCCTTTCAAAATGTGAACATCTCCCAGCCAGTGACAGATACATGTTCAGATTCACCACCTACTCAATAGTAAATAATTGTTTTGTGTCTGAAATCTACCAGCATTTGGCTAGTGGCTGGTCCTAATTTGCCACCCTGGCAACAACGGAAGAACACGCACATGATACATACACAAACTCTGCAGAAGTGGGAAGATGAAACAGGATGTTTCCAGAGACTTTCAGGAAGTTGCTTGCACAAAGAGCACTTTTGTTGTGGTAGTTCATACGTCATAATTTTCTCTCTCTGACTGGAATTTCAAAATGTTTGCCTTACAGGCGAAACCATCCACTGTGGAGATTTTGGAGGGAATCGATAAGGTATGCCCAACTTGAAAGACCTTTGAATTGAAGTAAAGTGCCGTTTTGAAGTTGTTCTTTTTTATATATGCATGCACAACATGCTCTACTAAAGCACAACAAAGCCATTCTCTAAATATTTTATAATATTTACAGCCTAATCTGCACAGTGGGCAGGTAGACAAAGCCCATATAAACAAGGCACATTTTCACAAATATTACTAAAACAACTATTTACTCTGTTGCACCACAGTCAGGGTTCAAAGGAAGCTTAATAGTACACTGCTTATTTACATATACTGTACTGAAAGGTGAACTATGGCTCATTACAACTTGAGATGTATATTTGTAGCTCTAGTCATCAGTTATATTGCTTGTAACATTGTACTACCACAAATAATTGCAGAAATCTGGAAACACCATGACATTGTTAAAAAAATAGAGCCGATTGGGCAAGAAAAATAAGCAAATCATGCAGGTTGTAAACAAGCCAAAAGTTTATCCAGATTATCTTAACTATTTCATTTGGAGGTAAAACTGAAAGTAAGCGCAGCTGTAATGCCGCTAATAATCCCTCATTACACTGGAAAACCAACTACAGATAATAGTTTGGTCTGTAAACTTTGATTTTACTGTTTGTCTTTGCTTACACTTCCAAATAAGTTTGATTTTTCTTGGAAGTTTGTTAACAACCGTCTAATCATTTGAGCATGCTTTTTTGTCGCCCTGTTTTACCACTTTAGTGAAATTAAAACATTTATTCATAACATATTCTAAATGTGTAGTTCTCTTATAATATGGTAAAATGAAGAATAAATAAATAATAAATAATAATAATAATAATAATAATAAATTGATTCATGTATTGGTGTTTAGTGACCACTTAAGCCTTTGATAATGAAACAATGCTGTGCAAAATGTGTTGTATAAGCACGCCTCTTTTGACCATAAGCAACCACATGTGTCAATGAATGCCACATCAGCTCCTCATTTGCTGACTGAAAGGGCTTTAGTGCTCTTCTACAGTTAAGCTAGTGTTAGGCTATTTTCAGCACCTGTCCTTGGAGCAAGAGACCCTACACATACACTGAAGAGGTCATGTGGCATTGAAGTTGTGAAGAGATGGGTGTTGGGCCTGTTAGTTTCTGCTAGGAAAATCCTGTCATTCATTATGAAAGAATATGTTGACTAATAATTTTTCATGTGCACCATCACACACACAAGCACAGGCATTATATACTGTAATGCTGAATGTGAGATCGGTCTATCCAGTGCTCAGAGTGAAAGGCACACGTGTTACAGAAGACCCATAGTGACCAGAGTGGCCGCCGGCTATTTTTGGATGGGGTACACAGCACTTGGATGCAGTGGTGTAGTCTTTCCATATTAAAAACAAACAAACAAAGGATGAGTGAGCCATTTGTTAATTGCAAAGTTTTAATGAATTACATAAACAGTTGGCTTTTATGCTAGATAAAAATTTGATCATGATCCAACAAAAACATTTGCTTGGTTTGCTCTCACTAGTTAATGCCAAGTTTGGATTTTACTTCTCTGATATGCTTCATGTTCACCTTAAATTTTCAGTCCTGCTACAGACGGTGGCGTACATTGTTAGAAATTCAACAGCTAATAGCTAATAGAATTAGCTCCCGTTTGCGTCTATGTAAAGAACATGACTCCAATCCACACTGTTGACAGACATGGCCTTAAGGCAGTGGTGAACACACTGGGTCTGCAGTGTGATGTACAGTACCACAAGTTTACACTACACATAAATAAAACTGTTAAAATATTCTAAGTTGAGTTTCAAAGTCGTCCTAATGTACAATATCTTAAAGCCGCAACAACTACATTTAAATTGTATTCTATTCAAATATTTAGGGAAAGTTTTCTATAGGATTCCAGTCAAGCCATACAGGAAAAGCCTTAAAGGGTTAATTCGACTTACTGAGATTTTGCGTGCGGGTGCTGTTTATATTTGTAATTTTGTGTTGTGTTTCTGAACGTAAAAACATATGTAAACATACACAAAATGGATTGTAAATACACAAGAGGTTTGGTGAATGTTGAGTTTAAGTGAAAAAAAAAACAAGAATGATGTGTTCATTGAGTGCATTTTGTTTCAAAGCTGTAAAGAGTGATCCACAGTTTAGTCTGCATTAACTTCAGTTGTGCTGACTTTTGAGAAAGTGTTGAGAAGTGCATGTTGCCAGTTGAGAAAAAACTTGTATAGGATCACATTTGTGTACTAATATAACGCTCCTTTCATTTCCCCTCACAGGATATACAGATTCTTGAAGAATACAGTGAGAAGTATCAAAGGCAGTTGAAGATATGGGTCGGGCGACTGCTTCTGTACTCGTCTCTTCTCTTCCTGATCACATGTGTAGTTGTGTATTTTTGGTACCTGCCTGAACAGTTGATAGGACGGTTCATATTGTCTCTCCCCTTCGTACTATTTCCGTTCTTGTAAGTGTACAGTATAGTCAACCTCATTGTTGCTTTAACTTTAACTTCAATTTAAATAATCAACCATTTTCTTTTCCTTTCCTTTTTAGAGTTTGGTTACTTCGAAAAATGCTTATAATCATTTTTTCACGAAGAACTGAAAAAAATAGTAAGATCCTTTTTGCTATTTGTATATAACTTACTGCAAAATAGTAATTATTATTGTTATGTTCAAACTGGTGTTGAATTCTCCTTTTTTCAGATGACAAATTAGAGGATCTTAAAGCCCAAAAAAGAAAAATAGTAAGTGACGTTTTTATATTTGTCCACTTTCTCATATTTTGTGAATTGACTTGTCTCATTTTTGGTCTATAGTTTTCCTGTGAGACTTTACGTTAAATAGCCTAACTTATTGCTGCTAACAAAATACAATATTTTCTTTAAGCATGGACAGAGTTGCTCCAAAATGAGAAAAGGACTGAAAATGATAGTTAAGGAAAAAACAGTTTTCTGACAGTTATAGTCACATTTATGTATCTGGACATAAAATTGAGGATCAAGCACATAACATGTTGCTGTTTCAAATAATATTTTTTATGCCACAAAGCTGAAATGCTTGTCAGTTTACATGTTTCATTGGGTGCATTACAATTTCACTTGCACACTTAAATTTTTTTAATTTCCTTATTTACCAGTTTCTTCCATTTTGAGCCAACTATCATCACAATTGAGCAACCAGCTGCCCAAAATCATTCAACAACTGTTTGAAAATGTAAATATGAGGCTTACTGAGGCCATGCGTGGATCCACTGTGTAACATTTAGCAGGATCTTTTGGCAGAAATATAATATAATATTCATAACTATGGTTTCATTTCTGACAATAAGAATCATTATGTTTTTGTTACCTTAAAACGCCGCCATGTTTCTACAGTAGCCCAGAATGGACAAACTAAACACAGGCTCTAAATAGCGCCGTTTATTCACCATAGTTTCTGCTTCACACTTGGAAGGGAGAGGGTGAAGCGAGGGAGTTGCAATCTGCAACTACACTACTAGATGCCACTGAATCTTAAACCATGGTGCTTTTTAAAGAAAAACAAAATGTATATTTTATTAAATAATCTGTTTCTCACTGGTGTGCAAATGTACCTCATGTAGCAAACTATTGGTCAGGTGCAGCTGTTCAATGCTCGATATTTTTAGAAAACCAAAATATTTTCAGAGATGATTCATCACCAAAACACTGAGTGGCAACTAAAGACAGTGGGTGCTTGTCAAAGTTCCTAAGAAGTATGTTACATTTGCATTTATATGTTTTATTGTTTAGACTCCCCATGTCACTTTTCAAAGCTAGTACAATATTTGCATTGTATCTAAGTTGGTGGTGGTTTTCAGCATCCTACAGATTTTCTCTATAATGTTTAATGAAATTAGGTCTGTGAGCTTGAGAGATCTGCAATGTGACATTTCAAAAAACACTGTATCTGTGGCTTGCCCCGAGGTCAGATAAATGAGAGAAAGGTATAGAACTCATACTCAATAGTATGCATTATATTTTATGTCTAGTGGTCTCCAGTGAAGTGAAACGTTCTGTAGGTACCCTGGTAGTATTACTTATTGATCCTCTGAGTATTTTGTACAGGATACTTGCTAATCTAGGATCAGTACAGACAGCATTTGATTGTTACAGTGACTTAACCCAGTAAACCACTCTGCTAATGTCACTTTAATTAATAGCATTTAGTGCAGGGAAGAAATAAATCTGAGAAATTGCTTGTCATCCTCTGTCAAGTCTAATAACTTTCAATAATTAGGGCTGATGGATTTTCACACTCTCCATTATCGAAGTAGTGAATGTAATTATTCTTCATATTATATGTAAACATTTAGAAATGTTTGCTACTTATTTTAAATGAAGATGTACAATTCCTTGTGCCATTTCTTAGGCACGTTTACTTGTAATGCTATGGTGGGTGATCCTAAAATGTGTGTTTATAAAACACCTATTAATTACATCAGATGATCATCAAATAATTATTTGGCAGTAGAGCTGTTATTATAGGAATAATGTGTTTGTGCAGTGTATTGAAAACATTGTAAAAGCCTTTATCCTAAAATACCCTTTTAATGTCTTGTTTTTTCCAGCTTGAAGAAGTTATGGAAACTGAGACGTATAAAAATGCTAAAATGATACTGGAGAGATTTGATCCTGACTCCAGGAAAAAGATGGTGAGTTGTTTTGTTTTTACTCTGAAACATAAAACACGCACTAATTATCTTCCTCATTAAATTGCGCTCTTGCTCTTGTTATCTGTATAAAGGAGCTTGAATCCACTCCTATTGGACCTCAGATGACTCCAAAACCAGGACAAGGTAACATTGCGTTCTGAAGAAGACACCACTATTTCCCCCTACTTTTTCTTACTGTTGTCAAGCAAACCTGCAATGTTTTCTGTGTTAGAGCTCCGCCAGCGCAATGTCATCCCTAAGACCCCCACAGTGGTGGCGAATCCTGCAAGCGGAGCTGCTGCCCGCCCCCCTCTTGCCTCTGGGCCCACCTATCCTGGACGATCTTCCCACTCTGCTCCAGGTGGACCCCCAGAGAGGGTCCTGTCGGCTATAGCTGCTCAGCAGAGCTTGATGAGGAGGCCTGTGACCCCTGGAACACCTGTTCCAGGAGTCGGTGAGTTACCTGCACACAGGGGGACCACGTCATAATGTGGTCGATTAAGGTGTGATTTACTCTTCCCTTGCTCTGTGTCCCCAGTTGCTCAAGGCTCTGTGGTGTGTGTTGTCAGCAGGGGTGGTATATGTTATACAGTAGTTGTAATGGGTAATTATATGAATGTAGTTTTCAAATATCTTACTAAAAGGTTCAACCTTTCTCAAATAAATGTAATGATTGTGAACAAAGATTAGAAATAGGCCATAACTTTTGATACGGTCAGAATATTTACCTCAAGAATATGATGATTGTGCCGTACATATTTAGTTGCTTTTTAAAGATTTTAAAAGCCAGCCAGCCAGCACGATGGAAAAACTTTCCATAGAACAGTTGTTGTATATGGAAGACATCTGTGGAGTGTAGAGGTATTGAATATTCAATATAAATTATTTCTGGACTATGAACACTCAATAGAAGATGCAAATAAGTGCAAACAGTAAAGGAAATGTGTTCCTAGAGGAAGCTGCATGCTGTAATTGCCATGTGGAATGCCAACTGTGAGGTATGCACGGATCAGGATTACATTAACTATGATTAATTAGCCAGACCTGCGTTTGTTCTCTGGGCAATGGTGGTGGAATCTCACTAAATGTCTTTTAATGCTTGGTGAAATTGCCTTTGGCATTGGGAACACCTCACAAATGGTTTACATGACTTGATGTTATCACCTGCTTCTGTGGAAAATTGAAAGTGAAAAGCAATTTGATACAAAGAGTCACCACAGAGTTTCCATATGTTGGTAAATTAATAACCAGCAGGATACTGAGACTCTGCCAAGTCTCACAGAAATGACCAGTCATCTTCCTATGATTGCTCTTGATGTTAGATTATATTAATTACTACTCACCAACACAGCAGGGAATCTGGACGTGCTTTGCAAGTGAGATCCAGTGTAAAGTCATTAAGAAAACGGGGCAGGTTTTTGTAAAATGTATCATGGATTGTGCAGTAAACTGTGAATCTCAGCCTCACAATTTCACTTAGTCTTTTTACTGTAAGCAGTACCGGTTTACTGCAGTTTGTATTTGAGACTGCAGACTGTCTAACAGGCACTGATGCCGTGCTTTAACAGGAATGCACCCCCCAGGCCCGCCCCTGGCCAGACCTGTGCTCCCAAGGGAAAGGGGTGCTATGGACAGAGTCATTGAGTATCTTGTTGGAGATGGCCCTGGGAACAGGTACTCTCTTTCCAGTAATACACTTATATATTGTACAGTTTACACCTTGGAATTGGTTTTATGGGCCAAGTATAATTAATGTATTAAACAGGTTCTAAATGCTATGCTGATGCAACCCCTAAAATTATTTAATCTGATCATTTTTATGAGATTATCTCCCTCTTGTTATGGAAAGCAATGTTAAAATGATGATAATCTGCCAATAATAACTTTGTATTGTATGTATCAGCAAAATGATCTTTTGTGCAGTCTAATGCAAGTCCATGTACTGAATGCTGTCATAACTGGATTGTCTTTCTTTCCTCATAGATACGCTCTCATATGTCAGCAGTGTCTGTCCCATAACGGCATGGCATTAAAAGAGGAATTTGAATACGTTGGTAAGACTTGGAGAAACACAACACTCTTTGTCAGTCTCCATCAAACACTGTGCCTTCATTTGCCCTCTAGCATTTGGCAGTGTAGTATATCATATGGCTCTTAAATGCCTCTGCCACTACCGACCCTTGTAAGCAAAAACACAACAAGATTGAATATGCAAACTAGTGCTACACATCAATCTGAAGTGTTTATGCATCTTAGGCATTTTTTGTCATTGGTTCATATTCATGTATATTAATCTGTGTCTGTTTGAGAATCTATTAGTGAGGTGACATAAACTATACGTATGGTGTTTCATTTGTGTCGTTTCAGCCTTCCGATGTGCGTATTGTTATTTCTTGAACCCTGCAAGAAAGACCAGGCCTCAGGCACCCAGACTACCCGAGGTCACTGGTGACCTGAAGCTGTCATCTGAGGCACCATTACCATCGTCTGGTGCTGACGAAGATGACGACCAGTCTGTTTTAGGTGATAATGACAAGTCGAAGACAGTCAAGCAGTGTAATGGTCACGCATGTAATTAGATGTTACCAATATTACTTAATTTAGATTAATTCAATTCTTAAATTCCATTGTACACAAATACAGTAGTGTCCATTTTTCTTCTTTTCCTCCTTCCTTTTGAGTCCTTTTATACTTGTTTGAAATGCATCCAAATCTAAACTGAAACATTATCTCTAATTATCAGAGAAAAGCAAGCTTGCTGATGTGTCTGCCGAATCAGACACTCAAGAGCCCAGCACACCAACAACCACAGAGCCGAGCTCCGCGTCAGACAGCCAAACCACCCCAGAGTCACAAGATCTGCCCTCTGAGAAATCTGATGAAGAGCAAGATTTGTCTGCCATGGAAGTGGAATAAAATTTCAATACAAGTCAGGCTGAAACTTTGTTTCCTTGAAGAAATGTGAGAACAGTTAACTAAGTAGATGCCTTGAGTTGGAATAATGCAGTAACAAGTCAGCAGCTGATGTGATTTCCAACTTACAGTACAGATTATCCTTTCTTTTGAGAATTGCTTTTATAATTCTAGCAATAGTAATGAATTTAATATTAAATTGTATAGCACTCGCATGGTAGTAACCGCCAAAAAAAACCTCCTTTCTTGTATGATGACATGTTTATTTTCATAACATCGTACTGAGAACATTAAGAACGATGTTAAAATAATGTTGTTGTTTTTGATGTTTTATAGCTAAATCTTTTTCCATGTATTCTTTGTTTTTCCTCATTTTATTTGATTTTGACTGAATTTCTACCATTATTCTGTCTGGGTTAATTGGAAACAGCGGAAACAAAACAAGAAATATTTTGTGGGGGAAATCAATTATTTATTTATGGGAAATTATTTATAAATATTTTTCTATAATGGTGTGCCTTTCATGACGGGGTTGACAAGGCTACCCTGCAGCATGGTGTTGCTAACATGTTTACACAACCATGGTACCATAGTAAATGGACATACAGTATGTATTTATTGGTAAAAAGGGAGAAAAGGAGATTGATGTCAGTACTGTGCACCTGCCCTAAGTGACTTTTATATTTAAGTCTCTGCCTCAGAGTATTGTCGATGAAACCTATTTACATATAGACAATAGTCATTTAACTGTTTACAGGCAATATGTGTTTTCTGACTGTATGAATCCCTGTTCTGTATAAATAATACTAAATAAACTTTTGAGAATATCTGTGTACATGTGTGCTCTGGATCACAACACATTCCTCAGATACGTGTTTTTTTAAATCTACGTACATGCTGGAGAATTATTTGACTGGTTTTGCTGTGAAAACGCAATTGATCATTGCTGGATTTTAAGCAAAAATCAAGATACTAGTAGGAAAGGTCAAACTAACATTTATATAGCGACAATGACAATATCTCCCTATATTCCAGCTACCTGTACTGTGTCATGTATTTTAAACTGCTGGCCCATTTCTTCTCTGGCAAGCTTCTCACCAAGCAGCGATGTTTAAACAGTCTGTTTTCATTAGCAGGCCAATTTTAGCTTGTGATCATTTTATTTTAGCTCATTGATCATTTCAGACAGCGTAAGATAATGGTGCTGACACAGAGCCCGACCAGTCTTGATTGCTTGACCCTCTTCATTTGCAACAAGAAAGTCATTGGGCTACAAAGTTGCTCTCTGCCATCACATGACCCTTTTAAAAGATAAACCGTAAACTATTGGTGAGGTCAACCCACCACATCTTCTATGGGTTTTGATAATGTATGTTTACAGAGACATGACCTCCTGGGCTTTGTAATGCATCAATGTGACATCGACAGTAACGCCTGATTCCACCGCATGCTGTTTGAGGTTGACCTCTGACAAGAGCCAAACGGGGGAAAAAAATGGGACATCAATAGGACAATGTTTGGATGTTTTCACACCATTGGGAGGTTGTCCATGTATACATAGCCTGCACATATGTGAATCATCGTAAGTAATATATCACAAAAGATCTCTGCTGTGTGAGATGTATGTTTGAGTAACATATTTGATTCCACAGCACTGAATCATTTCTTGACAGATTGTGCTTCATAGTCAGAAGAATTACTATATTGTGCAGGATTTTTTAACTAAGTGTAACAAAGTTCAGTTATTTGCTTGTTTTTTTAATCTGTATAATGCCTGAAGGATTTCACTGAGAGAGAGAGAGATCTGGTGGTTGAACATAAACAGCTACAAAAGTGAAACTGTGTTCAGCTGTAAGTTAATTATGTTTGTCTTTTAAAGTGTTACAGTTACTACTTTCATTTGTGAGGTGAGATGATTTTTATTGAGTGTCCAACAGAAGGCCTATTTAGACGCAATCAATATTTGGGAGGGTCCTTCAACTCTCCAATCAGGATGTTTATATTATGATCACAGTCCGCACACTAACAATTCAAAGAAATACTGTTAACATAATCTGAAAACAAAAAGTCAAGGTTTTGTGTGCAATTGTCCACTCAACACTCAAAGGATTACATCTGAATTGCTATCATGGAAACACTAATTGATTTTCAAGGATGACAAATGACACACAAAGCCCCAGTGCCAAGGTAATTTTGAGCAAGCGATGAAAATGTACAGTGGGGCTGTCCCAAGGTTCATAGTTCTTTTCATACTCATCTCTCACATGTGCATTCGAGGCCACTTGACATAAATTTATACTGATCTTTTATTTATACCCAGAAAAAATGGCTGATAAGAAACATAAGTGTTCTTGATATTGTGTTTTGTCATATCTAGCAGCCAAAGATTGAAATCCTGCGAAACAATTTTCTGAAGAAATGAAAGAGCGTGCCCTCCTGAACCCTGGAGGAAAATAACCCCACGGTGCGAGGCAGAATATGAAACAGAGGCACAGAATAAGTAAAATAGACAAGTGCACCAGGCTTGTCACTTTTCCATTTGCTGCCCCCGAGTGTGAGCACTTCAAAATTCTCCTCATCTCAGCGAAGACCTTCATCGTTATGCTCTATCTACTGTACTGAATACGAAAAAAGTACCACATCAGACAAAGGTAATAAAGAAGGGAGTTTTTAAACATTTACCATGTTTCTGTCGATCATGAAGTAGAATGCAACAGGAAGAACAACAAAGTCATAAATATACAGCACAAGCCATTGTGCACTGAAGACGATGTGGAAAATGCTGAGATGAGTGTCACAGAAGCAGTTAACACGGTTGTGATATCAGACATCACCATTGGCTCTTGACAACAGCATCATTACACAGTAATAAGAGCACAATCTCCTTCAGAGAAGCATTAAAATCAAATTAGATTATACAAGAGCTTGGCTTGATGAGCTGCGAGGGGTGATGCTTCCCGAGCAGTGGATCTCTGGTTATTACTGTAGCTCTTTAGCTGCTTGGGCTTGAATTGCCACTTGACAAAGTTGAGCAGCTTTTTCACAAAAGGTCATCAGCTTCCAAGAAATTAGTTTTTAAAATTCAAGTCATTTGAAGCCCCACACACCCAGATGGATGGGTTTCCATTTTTTTCCCCCCACACGTTCTATCTGTCATATCGTGAATGCATGCCACTGAATACATGATGTCGGCAATAAACCAGTGTGCTGTAGTTTATGCCAGAGTGACATTCAGGGATCAGAGAGCATTGTCATTCTCTGTCCTATCTTGAACTCATTACACCACTGAGCGATGACATCTGTTTGAGCGCTCATACAGTCTGACAATTATCAGTGCAAACAATCCACTGTTGTACCTTAATTAAATGCTAAACTAGAAGAGGACACACTTTTAGAAAGACAGCGTATGCATGAAAATATGTATTTCGTCATAGTATGAAAAAACTGCGGTGCTGAATTCGCTTCCAACGCAATTATATTATTTATTTTGGCTGTTGGTACTTTTAATGTCCCCGTACATGCATAATTTCTGTGCTTGACCATTGATATATTGATTACTTTTATATAGTGTTAGAATAGAACATGCCCTTGGAATCAATAACAACATAAAAACCAGGTTAACCTAAATTTACAAGTCTTGTCATATGCAGGGTAATTATTCAATTATAGAGTCAAAGCACAAAATTACCTCTTTCTCTTTCTTTTTTCTTGCTCTTTTACTAAAGTATTACATATTATTGTGGGAGGGAATACTTCAAAAAACCACCAAAAACAGAAAGGGGAAGAAATGGAAGGCCGAGACATCACACCCCTGCTACTACTTCATGTGGAAATCATACAAAGCATCCTGCAGGCAGCAGGTTCATTTTATAGCTTCATCTATTACCACACTGTCATTGTTAATTGTCTTCTTTTTACCTCTGCAGGATTCTCCAAATTGGTCCTATCGAATGTGACAGGAGGAAGAGCATTAAGCATCTGACAAGATGATATCTAAGTTCAATTTCCTACTCCTCACCTGATTTATACCTGCAGCAGATCATTTTCCTTTCTGTCATAAAGACCTCTATAAATCAGTGGTGCTTATGGAAGCACTACAGAACAGGGTCTCTGGATTTGTATCCCCTGTGTTTGCTATTAGGAAGCCATTACAGCCACATTTTCCTCCTTCAAACAAAAATGATCAAATCTAATACTGGCAAGATTAGAGAGATAAAGAGAGAAAGCGCTGGCAGAGCTGTTCAACACAGTCCCCTATCTAAACAATATGCTCTAAACTCAATAAAAACAGGGCTTTTTGCTGGTGACACCATTATCCATCTGTTTGGACAAAATTGCTGTATCATGGTATAAATCTGCGATACAAGTGACATATCCTCTAAAATAAAAGGGAACATTAACTGCTCTATCTTCTAGAGGCCATGGGACTAGCTGGCTATAAGCTCAGTCAAGTGTGATGGCAGTTATACTGTGTTTTACTAGACTGCAGACAATTATACTTTGCTCCTCTCCCCTAAGAAGACAAACTGCCATGGCTTCAGCTGAAATGATTTCAAATAGATTTTCCAAAATGTCTGTCGCCAGATTGCTTCCATACATTATTTCACTTAAATGGAGAGAAAAAAAGCGGGAGCAAATCCACAAATCAATCACAACAGCCCACTTTACCAGATGGAAAGACGAGAGCTTTCAGTATGTGTGTGTGTGTCTGTGTATGTGTGTGTTGAAGACCTGCAGAGAAGGACAGTTATAAGACGTGCACAGTCCTGTCTCTGCTATGTGTCTCTCTCATCTTGAAGGATGACATGGAGTATGTACTTTCAGTGGTGAGCTGGCAGTGCTGTAAAAGTGGAATAATGTATAATGAACTGACCCGCTGACTTCTGGCTAGTTCAACAACAAGTTCATTCAACCAATCATGTGTAATCCATTAAAAGAGTAGGAGAAATACAATTATTATCACACATGACAGGCAACATACGCTGCTCTGATGAAAGGTAGTCTGTAAAATTACTCAGTCTGTATCCAGAGTTGAATCCTTTTGCATACTAATATTGTTTTGTAATAAATGTATTAGATCAATTAAGAAGATCCAGGTTGTGACATTTAAAATAAGAAAGGGAGTCTTTCCTTTACAAAAAACTCAAGTATGCCTGATAACTGACATATAACATACTATAATGCTTTAACTAAGAACTAAAACTAGGTGTGGAAAAACATTTTATTTAACTGAAATAAAAATAAAACTAGACTTTAGAAAAAAACTAGATTAGTTTTAGATGAAAAACAATATTGTGTACTCAAATAAAATAAAAATATACAAGAATAGTCTAATTAATTTGTTCAAATTTGTGGATTGGTGCAAAGGTTTATTGAGACTGCGTTGTCTACATGACGGCGAGTAAGTGTGTTTGTAGTTTAATACATATTCTGAACTTCTAATCTAATTTTGCCGGACAAATACCCAAAATATTATAATAATAATAAATAAAACTAAAACCAATACTGAAACTAATACAAACCTAAACTAAAACTAAACATTTTAAACAATAAAAACTCAACCAAGAAGAACAAACCTTCTCCGAAAACAAAACTGAATTGAAACCAACCAAAGTAAAAATAAAAACTAAAGAAAAATACAAAACTATAATAACTCAACTAATGACCAACGCTTATTCGTCCACGGTACGTAAGCTACGTAAGACAAACGTGGCCACATTTCGAATCAGCCAATAGAAACGCTGGATTTCACTCGGCTCTGCAACCAATCAGGACACGACTTTCTCCGCCGATGAAGTAACTAACGGTAACGGTCACTGTCACGATA